CTATTTACAACCGAATGTGGCTTGTGACAAAAGTAGACATGGAGAAGAGTTCCTACTCACTTTTGACTCTCCCAAGCAGTTTTTCCATTCACTCACTCATTCAATAAATTTGTTGCACCTACTATGTACACTCTTAAATATCTTTGTGTTAGCAGAGATTTCCAGTGTTTCTTCCTTAAAAGGGTTTCTTTAAACTTGTAATTATCAGGTCCTTATATGTTTTAGGGCAGATCAGGATTAAAATCTCTACTAGCACTCAAGAGGATTCATGATTATAAAAAATGAATCTAGCTAATAATGATATCCTTGCACTCAATACTGACACATCCTTCTTAAAATCACAGCCCAGGGCTTCCCTGGTGGCGCAGTGGTTGAGAGTCTGCCTGCCAATGCAGGGGACACGGGTTCGTGCCCCGGTCCGGGAAGATCCCACATGCCGCGGAGCGGCTGGGCCCGTGAGCCATGGCCGCTGAGCCTGTGCGTCCGGAGCCTGTGCTCCACAACGGGAGAGGCCACAACAGTGAGAGGCCCGCGTACCACAAAAAAAAAAAAAAAAAAATCACAGCCCAGATGAGGAAAAATATATAACTATCTCTTATTAAAAGACACTTTGTTTCCTACCATAGGCTGAAACTTTTAAAAAATCTCAAATGTAGAACATCCACCAAATAACTTCTCATTTTCCTAGTTTGTTGCCATGTAACATAAAGTCTGGATCCAGGTGGGGCTCTTCATCAGCTTCCTATTTCAGCCATAAAACAATACATTTAGGGGTGAATACTACTTCTGAAGCAATTGACACTCCTACATTTCATCTCAGGGAAGGAGTGGTCATGATTCTGCTCCTTCAGGACAAAAACTGTCAGCTTTCTGAATATTCCTGCTCTTTATCCCAGGTGAGGGAAGACTTTTTAAAGTGGCCAAAAGGAGTACAGGACTTCAGTATTAAAATATAAAGGTTGCCCCCATTCCAGATCTTTGGTACAGACATCGACTACAATAATCTGCTTACCCACATCACAGAGACATGGCACATTTTGTAATTAGAAGTGTTTGTGATTTTCCTTTTGACCACGTAAACAAAAGGGGAAATGCCTTGGGAAACCACTTTTGCAATGTTTTCTCATTTCTCTTAAATACACAAGTGCACAACCAGTTCTCCCTTTGACCAAGTTCATGAGGAGAAAGAATAGAGTGGACCAAGGTTATCGCTTTCGCTCTCCTCTTTGAGTCCTTTTCTTTTCCTTTTCCTTGCGCTCCTGCTTGGCTAGCTTGTCCCTCTCCCTCTGCAGCTTGTCCTGTTCCTTCTTCCTTTGGGACTCATCCCGAAGAGAGTCTCGCTCCAGTTTTCGGGCATTAAGGACATCTTCCACGTTGGTGTTTCGAAACAGGGCTACAGGTGAGTTAAGGGATGAGGGTCCAGGTCACACAGGTCTCAACTACTGCTCTCTCCTCATTCTTGCTGTCGTCTCTCTACATGCCAAGTCTTCAATACTCTCTACCTATCCCTAGTCTTAAAAAAAAACCCTTACGTTTATCTTTGGTCTAATGGGAAATCCTAAAACTACCATTAGTAAAAAATTAGAATAAAAATCTCATTCAGACTTATCTGAGTGTTAAATATTTCATGAAAATGAAATTTCATTCTACAATAAGTACTTGTATCATTCACTGACGCAATATTGTATACTATCCAGGCTAGTTTTAGTGACTAGAGTATTAAAGTAACTGGCAAAATTTTTATGTACTTGGCATTATTAAAATGCTTGAAAAGAGTTAAGTTGTTTAACCTTACTAAACTTTATCAGGTTGCTTTTTTCCCTAGACCACTAAAGCTTACGTGAAAATCATGTTCTAAGGAAATAAGTTTAACCAGTTAGAAAATACCTAGCCAAAAACTTTACTCTTCACTTCTTACAACTTTAAAACATAACCTGTTACTACCAGACAAGCTCCTCTTTACTCTTAAAACATAATTTTTTTCTCCTTTAGTGCTTTAAAATGAGTAAGTCTCCCTGAAATAACCCCCCTTCTCAGAGAATCCACCATACTCCTCACCTTTAAGGCGGATTTCTAAATCCACGTTCTCTAGGAAGCTGCTCATAAGTGATTCTGTTGGTAGGGATTTTCCTCAGCACGTATGTTTCAATCTGTCCGTATTTTAACTTAAAGCCTTCAGTGTTTGTAGTCTCTTTCCACTGAATTATAAGGTCTTTGAGGACAAAGACCAAAACTGCAATATTGTTCTATTTGCTTCAACATTGCTCGGAAACCCAGCGCTATACATAAGGAATATAGATTCTCATTTTCCCTTAGAAATCCTTTCTCTAACCCCTTCACAGTTCATGTTAACATATTTTCTTTGGGGAAAATTCTTGCTAAATTGACTATTTAGTACTGTCCTAGGACTGGGGCTCACAATGCTGGCCTGACCTGTGTCATTGGAGGTAAATGGAGCCCCCAGCAAGGACAGTAAAATAAAAACTGACCCACAAGAATATTCTATGGAGAAACACATGGGGATGGACACAGAGAAGGATACATTTCTCAGAACCAGTGCTCATCATGGTGGCACCTGAATCATCCTTCTCATCTGCTTCAGTGAGTGACGTTAAGGAAAGTCGGATGGAAAACAAAGGTTAGCACATCCCAACCCAACATCAGAAAATAGTGACTAAGGTGATGGGTAGGAAAAGCGCGCTGAATGGAAGGACTCTGTCAGGGATATGACGGTAGACCCAGGAGAGTCATCTTTGGAAGTCAACTTGGGGAAGACTGCTCAGAGCTTCTGTAAAATCCTTATCTGTCAGAGGCTGAAAAGAAACTGAAGCTGGTCTAGGTGGACTGCCACATTACCTGGGAGCCAGGGGATGGCAAGATAACCTCAAAAACAGTGGTTCTCAAAGTGTGGTTCCCAGAACTCCCCCAGAACTTGTGAGAAATACACATTCTTGGGCCCCACTCTGGATCTACTAAATCTAAAACTGTGGGGCATAAGGCCCAGCAATCTGTTTTAACAAGTCCTCCAGGAGAACCACTGCTTAAAACATTCTTTTCTAGCCCAAGAAATGAGATTTTGTAGTTGGAACCTCAGCTCTGCCAAACCTGGCAAGAAAAACCATGAGGGAAAACAAGAAGAGGAGTTGGCCCCAAGGAGCCTAAGAATTCTTTCCTAACCTAGTGACGTTTCTGGTACGACGTCCACTCCATTCAAGCAGGCTCAGTAAGCTAAGCATTCCCTAAACAAATTTCAAATTCACAGGGAACCAAATCTGCCCCTACCAGCAACACTTCCTTTTTACACAGTCCCCACTCAAATTCCAGGTTTATTCTGGTGTTGCTTTGGGGGGTTCAGTCTCACTTTTATTAATTATGTGGTCACTGGAATATTAAAAAAAAAAAAAAAGATTCAAATGAAATTGCTCCAAATTTGGGAATCCAAATTCAAATCCAGGTTCTAGTCCTGGTTTTGCTATTAATTCTTTGAATGTCTCTGATCACCCATTCATCTCTTAGTGCCTCAGTTTCCTTATCAACTGTGAAAAAATATAAAGATGGATTATACATGTAACGTGTACTTCATAGAAAGGCATCATACAAATATAAAGAATCATAAGTGTAAATCAACTACAAAGAATCACAGCTAGAGCATATTTTCTGAAAACATAATAACAGTGGTCCATTCAGGCATTATTTGTTTCACACTGAAGTTTTCAGGAACATATAGATTGTGTCTTAAAAAATGTAAGTCCAGTATCAACCATTCCAACATCATTCCTCAGGCCCACCAAGGGCTATAGATCACTGCCATTTTAAAGGAGAAAATTAAGCTATAGAGGGGGATTGGCAGCTTCCCAGAGCTCACTGTAAACCAGCAAAGGCTTTTGGCTCTAGCCTCAGGGAATGGCACTGAGACTCCAGAAAGGATATTCCTCTTCGTCTGTCACGTCGGCATACTGCGCCAGGAGCGCAGCTTTCCTCTGCTTCTCCTCTTCTGACACCATCCTGGGCTTCACCACAATCTGCGCCTGCTTCTCAATGAGGGTGGCAATGGCCTGGACCTCATCTGGGAGGTGGTGGGAGGGGAGGGAGGGACAACAAGCGTTGTATGTGAGAGGAAACACGCTCACCGAACCACTAGTCCACCCTGGCAGTGCTTGGAGTAAAGGCAAGGGCATCTGCTGACTCCTTAGAGCTCTGGGGTGCAAGGGAGGTGCCTCGGGGGCCAATGAGAAAGGCAAGGACAGGCCATGAAGGCCAGGCTTTAGGTCTCGTATCCATCTTCAATCAGAGCAGCCCTGCTTTTACTTGTTTCATATATTGAAGTTTTGCTGCTTTAAAAAAAAAAAAAAGGTTAAAAAGCACTGCATTAGAACCATAGACAATCAAGCCTCCAAACATGAAACTTTCTCTCATCTCAACTCAGACACCAAAGAAGGAATCTAGCACCAACTTAAGCTGGTCTATTTCATGTTGATAATTATGCTAGGTGAAATTCTTATATTATTTTAAAATAAAATCATCTGTTAACTTCTCCATTCTCAAAGAAAGGAGGCAATGGTGTAAAGCAGTGATTCTCATGCCTGGCTGCATATTAGAATCATCTGGGGGAGCTTTAAAAAAGATAGCAATGCCTGGGTCCCCACCCCAAAGATGTTTATATAATTGGTCCATGGTGCAGCCCAGGCACAGGCACTTTTATTTATTTATTTTAAAATTTTATTTATTTTATTTTATTTTTGGCTGTGTTGGGGCTTCATTGCTGCACGTGGGCTTTCTCTAGTTGCAGCGAGAGGGGGCTACTCTTCACTGTGGTGCGTGGGCTTCTCATTGCGGTGGCTTCTCTTGTTGCAGAGCACCGACTCTAGGCACATGGGCTCAGTAGCTGTGGCATGCAGGCTCAGTAGTTGTGGCTTGCGGGCTCTAGAGTGCAGGCTCAGTAGTTGTGGCGCATGGGCTTAGTTGCTCTGCGGCATGTGGGATCTTCCCAGACCAGGGATTGAACCCGTGTCCCCTACATTGGCAGGCGGATTCTTAACTACTGTGCCACCAGGGAAGTCTTGGCATTGGCACTATTAAACGTACAGCAAGCAATTCTAGTGTACAGCCACGACTGAGAACCAACATGTAGATAGCTTAGAATAGATTCTATTCAAGTTTGGATTTATGATTTGAGCTTTCTGCAGGTGATTTGTCATCCTAATGGTAACATCTCTTTCATTTTAAAGGGTGGAGGGTTTAGCTGAATAAAGCAAAAGACCAATCATAATTTGGGTTATGAAATGAGAAGATGAAAAAGGTGGGAAAATATAGTTGACCCTATACCTGCAGAGCAAATCTACAAGGGGGAGTGGGAAGAGGAATGAAAACGAAAAAAGAAAAAACCACAATGAAGAGAGCCATGGTCAGCTGAAGCGGAAAAATGTAAAAGGAAAAAAGAAAGCCAATGTTCAGTTAAAAAGTTAAAGCAGGGCTTCCCTGGTGGCGCAGTGGTTGAGAGTCCGCCTGCCGATGCAGGGGACACGGGGTTGTGCCCCGGAGCCTGTGCTCCGCAACGGGAGAGGCCACAACAGTGAGAGGCCCGCGTACCGCAAAAAAAAAAAAAAAAAACAGTTAAAGTAAGCTGCTCTGTGTTTGCCAGTTTAACTTATTTTAGGGCAAATGAGCATCCACTGGAGAAAACTAAAAACTCTTTCTCCAACAGCTGTAGAGTAAAGGTTGTTGGAGATTAGACGTAAAAACTCCAACTCTACCTTCTTTTTTCACTTTGGTGACAACATTCTGAGTTTCCGACCATCGTTCCACAATCTCCTTGCAGATGTTAAGAAGGGAATCTTCTTCCTGGTTGGAAAAATAGACCAATTAATTTCCTGAGAGCCCTCAACCTGAACAAAGTCTATGCAGAGGGCAGAGCTCCCCCTGCTGGTGATGAGAAGAAATCACAGGGAGGGTTTGGGAGCCACAGAATAGAGATTATGTTTCTCTTCTGAGGCTCCAAACACAGAGGTAATCCTGTGGGTGAGTCCCAGAAGCCACACCTGCTAGGTCCAAGAGCACCCACCCCATCCTGCCAAGCTCCAAAAGAAAGGATTCTCACCAACTCAGGGCAGTCCTTCTTTTGGGGCAAAAACCTGTTGCTTGAGTCAAAACTCTATGAAATCTTCCTTGGCCAATTTACTCAACTCAGAACACTCTCGAAAGTTTATCAGCTTTCTTGCTGGAACATATCCACGAGCTTGCTGATCCATAATAAAGAGAAGTTAAGTGAGTAGACGGTCTCCTATATAACCATCCCTCTGTCCATTTTTCATAAGCAGACATATTCTGCACACCAACCAATCTTCTTCCTTAGCATGGTATGACAAAAAGGATGTTGGCTTTGGTGTCAGACTTACTTAAATTCAAATCCCAGATCTATGAGCAAGTTTCTTAACTTTTCCAAGCTTCACATCTTCCCAGGATTTGAGAGAGGATGAATGTGTATAAAGGGCCTACAGTCCTAACCGCTGGTGGTCCAGCGGTTAGGACTCTGTGCTTTCACTGCCGTGGGCCAGGATTCAATCGCTGGTCAGGGAACTAAGATCCCACGTGCTGTGCACCGCCCCCCCCCCCAAAAAAAAAGGCCTACACCACTGGGCGAAGAACAGGAATTTCAAAAAATATGGGTATTTCCCTCCATCTTCATTGTGGCTGCCTTCACCACCTTCACTTTCTACCCCTCAGGATGAGTTGTCAGTGTTCACATTTCCTAATGTGTCAGGCACTGTTCAAATACATAAGAACTCTCAGAGTTCTTAAAACAATCTCCAGAAGCACTCTCAATTTAGAGATGAGGAAACCAAGGCACAGAGGTTAAGTAACTTGCCTAAGGTGATACAAGTAATAAGTGGATTAAACAGGATTTGAACCCAAGCATTCTGGCTTTGAGCCCACGTTCTCAACCGTTATATTATACCATCTCTCAGAGAAAAGTAAGGAGAGGCAGAACACAGACTTACTGTGGATATCCTTATTCTGTACCCAACAAAGGATTCCGTCCTCTACCCTGCATACTTTTAGCATGCATGCCAGACATATTGAATTTCTTTGGTCCAGAGTTCCTGTCTTACAAGGATCCCCAGCAGGAAAAGCGAAGGGAGAGGAAAAGAAAAAAGGGTAGGAAAAGGAATGGAGAGGCAAAAGAGAAAGGGCACTCTTGGAGGACGAGGTGGTTTATTCCCCCAATCTCCTCATCCAAACCAAAGAAGTTCATTCCTCCATTCGTTCATTTATTCATCCAGATGGTTCCTGCCATATTCAAGGCACTAAGATGAGTGCTAAGAGATGAATGAGAAACAGTCACTAGCCTCATAACACTTACAATTTAGAAGGCTGGTATATAAACAGCTGTGACGAAATGTAATATCCTGTTTACTAAACTCATTGTGATAATCATTTCATGATGAATACTGTACACCTTAAACTTATGTAGTGCTGTATGTCAATTATATCTCAATACAACTGGAAGAAAAAAATGTAACGTCCTCCTTAATGCTATGACCCTACTTAAAACTGCTCACCCCTCCATTCCACTCCTGATCCTCTTACAATGCTCCTTATTTCCTAGCACTAATCATTTTCTAACATACTATATAATTTACTGATTATGTCTTTCCTTACCGGAATATAACCCTTTGAGGGCAGGGATTTCCGTCTATGTTGTTCCCTCAAGTACCCCAAGCACTTAGGGCAGTGCCTGGCCGATGGATATTTTTATCCATCAATAAAAATTTGACTAATCAGTCAATCAGCACGGGACTTCCCTGGCAGTCCAGTGGTTAAGACTTCGTCTTCCAATGCAGGAGGTGCGGGTTAGATCCCTGGTGGGGGAGCTAAAATCCCACATGCCTCACGGCCAAAAAACCAAAACATAAAACAGAAGCAATATTGTAACAAATTCAATAAAAGACTTAAAAAAAATCAATCAGCGCAAGTGCAATCAGAAGGAATAAAGGGAAGGATGACAGAAGTTTTTGTTTACTGTCATTTGCTCCCAATTATATACACTATTCTTGAATCTTACCTCAAATTGTTGCTGACAAACTTCTAAATTCCTAATACTGAATCTAGCCCAATATGGCAATTGATTTGGCTATGCCTTCTGTTTTTCCTAGAATGGGATTTGGTACAATAGTCGGGAGTTTTTATATGCAGCTCAACTGACTGACAGACGATGAGCAGTGCTATGAGTGATGTGTTTGGTCTATACCATATTCATTGGCCTTGCTGCCCTGTAAAGTTGCTCCTCAGTTTTCATGGACAGGACCCCTGCCTCCCATATCATTCCTAGCCAATTCTTCCCAAAGTCATTTTCTACATAGAAGGGGGTGGGAAAACTGTGAGAAAATTTAAGCATGGTGTGTGAATTGGGCAGAGGGAGGGAAGCCACCTTAAAAACGAGTTTGTCTTCTGCAGTTTATGCAAACAAGAGGGAGACACAAAGAACCAAATCTGGTCTAGATAACTCTTCTACCAAGAGACTGTTAAGAGTCTAAGGCAAATTCATGCCTGCCTTCATCAGCAGACATACAGTTCTAAGTAATGCCACAATGTAAAGAACAGGTCGAGGAGCTGGTACCAATGAGTACCCAAATTACTTCAACTTCTTTTTCGTGGAGTCTTTAGAAACTTCCCAGTGGGAAATTTTTTAAAAAGTAACTTAAATTGCTTGCCTCCTACTCTTTCCCTTTCCAT